GGTCTTAATCGGTCGACCCTTATTGCTTATCATACACTTTCTCGTCCATGCTGGGCACTAGTCATCGGTTGGCTTATCTTTTTGTGTAGTACCAATCAAGGTGGAATAGTTAATACGATTCTTTCATGGCCAATTTGGACTCCTCTAGCTCGTCTTAATTATTCGACGTATCTTATTCATTTGATGATTATTTTTATAACTATCTATAATCAGACAACACCTATGTTCGTTCAACCACATACAATAGTTAACGCTTACATTGCGAATTTATTCTTCAGCTATGTTGCAGCTATTGTCGTTGTAATCTTTTTTGAAACTCCATTTTTTGTTCTCGAAAAGAAATTGTTCAAACGATAAATTGATTTTGATCAATAAAAGCATATTAATCCTTTTCTCGTTCTATTGCTTCGTTATTTCTTGTCAAAATGATATATCGTGCGATCAAATGATACTTATAACATAGATTTCATTTCAGGTCAGATGAAATGCCATAGTATATGAACACTAGTCATCGTTCGAATTCAATTATAGTCCACTGCCATTACAATAAAATTAACCCTTTAAAGGACGAATTTTGGATGGCCAAGTTTCTTTTGGAAGTGAGAATTAGTGATAATCTTCTTCAAACTTCCTGTTGAAGAAACAGATAAATACTCTTACTTGAACACGAATAGCCAGAAATTAATTCCGTGCATTGAGTATCATTGTTCTGGATTTGGATGTGGGTGGGGTGTGGGGTGTCGGTGTGGGTGTGTGGGTGTGGGGTGTCGGTGTGTAAGGTGTGGGTGTGTGAGTGTGAAATGAATACCAACATCCACATCCCCCCCCACCCCACCCCCACCTCCACCCACGCCCCACACCCACACCCACACCCACCCACATCCACACCCACACCCACACCCACACCCACACCCACACCCTCTCTTTGTGAACTGCAAATAGCTTATGTTAAAGCTAAATATGATTTAATTGAATTGAAACAACGTATTCTATATAATAAACCAAGTAAAATTATTTATGAAAAAGCATCATCTACATTAAAAACATTGGTATTTGAAGAAACAACTGATGTTCGAATTCATCAACGACAAATCGATCAAGAAGAAAAACAATTACAAATAAAAATGACTGATTTAATGGTTGAAGCTATTCTAGAAGCAGAGAAAAAAGTTATTCAATGTCATCAAATACTCAATCATAAAATTAAAAATGTATCTGAGAATAATGATGATACAATGGGACGATTAACAACACCAATGATGGATCTTATTTATAGACGTTTTACAATCATCGATAAGAAATATGAATGTAATTCAAATTTTCAAACAAATTATTATTTTCGAAATCATTTTGATGATTCACCTAATACAGTTACTTTAAAAAAATATCGCTTTTCACCAACGATGATTATGGCTACACAATTACATTTATTTTCAAACGAACAATTAACTTTATTAAATCGTGGTCCTACTTATGTTCCACTGTATCAAAATTATATATCAGCTATTTCAAATGGTTCGACTATTGATGATTTCATTAATGAACAATTTAAAGTTTTAAAACATGATTTAAGTATTTTCTATGCTAAACAAAATATCAATATGGCACAATCAATGTTCATTAGTAAAGAAATTAAAGAAGCTTATTCAAATGCTTTTACATTATCATTACCTGATTCTCTTTTTCAACGTGGATTCTATGAACAAAAATTAGTAGAATCTATTCAAAATCATTTAAAACAATATGATCTTATATTGAGACGTACAGCTAATAAAAAGAATGTCTTCTATCTTGATACTCGTTTAGATTTTGAAGAAAAAATTAATACATATATGGCAACAACAGAGATGTTCGAATTATGTGAAGTCATCGATCAATCAACTAATTTAAATGATTATTTAGAACGAATGATTAATAACTTTAATGAAAATATAGAACTTTATTTGGATGATCGAAAAAAATATAAACATATATTGGATAAAATCATGGTACATATTGGACAAGTTGAAATGCCTTATTTATATTTCCTACCTGATATTTCTCAAGTAAGTTCATTTCATTTAACAATTAATCATTTTCTCGTCTATGTATTTATTTTTCTATTTAAGAAACAAAAAATATCAGCAGTACCAATTGTAACTTCAACACGCGCTATTACTTCTCGATATTGGCATCATACTTAAATGAATTATTACGGCCTATCATTCAAATTTATGTTCAATCAACAACATTCAAAAATGAAGCTGATTTTATTCGAAAATTAAATCAATATATGGATGATAATAAAACAAAATCTTTCAATTCAATGACAAATTTCGTTAAAATCAAAATTCTCAATTATATTGAAATAGCATTTTATGGAACTTTATTAATAATGTTTCGAGATTTTTAAAAAAATAATTTACCCGAACCATTCTTAGGTGATCTATCAATCAAAAAAATATTTCATTTAACTAGTTTAGCTCTACATATGAATCGATTCTATTACAATGGTAAGATTTATCGTTTTTCAAAAGGTGGACCTGCAAATGTACCATTAATTCAAACTTTATCTGAAATGTTTGCTACTCAATGGCAAAAATCTTTACGTGATGAATGTAATAGAAGAAATGAATTTTTAGGTCGGTAAGTTACTTTTGAATTATATTTTTATTTCAATAGTTTATCATTTGAATTTATTATCGTTATTTTGTATTTATTTAAGATGCAAAGATGAAATTATACTTACTTGGAATTCAGATATGGAAGAATTACAATCAATTGTTAAACAGATACATATTCCTGATACATCGATTGAAATTCAACTAACAATGGCTTCGAAGGTTCAATTTTTAGACGCTTATATTGAAAATAAAGAAGGTTTATTATATAGTCGTGTTGATCATCATCATGGAGCACAACCTTATACATTACCATATGCTATTGCTAATTCAAAAGCAGCACATAGTCATTGGCTTCGATCATCACGCATTCGAGCTGTTCGTTATTTTTTTTTTTTTTATTTGCAAAAGCTGGTGACCCTTGTTGGTCCTATCAGTACAAAAATCTTTAAGAAATTACAGAGAAAAAGCATTATTTCAACATAGTGGAACTGTAGAATAAGTAACATGCACACAATTTTTACTACATCACACAAAAAATTACAGTTCTAACATCACTTCTTAACTCTTTTAATTTTGTCCACACGTAGTATTTTTCTTCCCCACAGAATATATACATATACAATTTCAACACAAAATCAACACCTCAACAAGTTAGAATGTTTCGGGAAAATTTGACGGCAGAGAAATCTCTTCTTCTTCGAAGTTGGGTACTGAATCCGTGATAGCATTATTCATACACCAAAAGGCACATTTTTCCAACACTGATGTGTTTTCAACAAAACGTTTGGACATGCACAACCCTTTAATACTCATCGCTCTCTCTCTCCACATAGTTCTATGAAGGTTTAAGATAGCTTGTTCATATAGTAGGTTCCCATCCATAGATTCCGACAATGCTTTAAAATATCTTTCCCAATAGGCAAAGCAGCGATCTTCTAATGATCTTTCGTGAAATACAAACGCATAGAAAGGATCTTGCCACTCAAGGTGATATGAAATTCTTTTCAAACAGGTATAATAAAAATGCGAAAGATCGTTTCGTTGTTTATCAGTAAAAAGTGGGAAAATCGCAAACAACCAAGTAAACAACGGTAATACAAAACACGAAAATAAAGTTCTTCTAAGCTTATAGGAAGTACTACCATTAAAGCGATACGCTCTAATCATGTTCATTCGCTGGCATATTTTTTGTTGGTTTTTTTTTATCATCAACCCCCAGCCTAATTTTTCAGACACATAATATCCAAGGTATTTGTAATTCTTAACCCAACTAATGTCGTTTCCTCCGCAAGCAATTTTTGGTGAGGGACTAGATATAGCTCTAGCAGACCACATACTTTCCGTTTTTGTGTAGTTGATTGGCTGGAGATTTAACAGAGAGTATAATTCTAATTTATCAAAAAAAGTCTTAAGTCTTTTTTCTAAATCTAAACACTGTTCTGTATAGCGAACTCCTATTCTTCCAGCTATCACTGCGGCGAGATCGTCTGCAAAAAAAAAGGGGATGCAAACTTCGAGAAAATCGCCCATATCGGCATGAAACGTTATAAAAAGCGTCGGAGTAAAACAAGATCCTTGTGGTCCTCCTCTCCTTATACTTATCCATCTGGATCGTGCTCCTTTTATTTCGATAAAGCCGCGCCTGTTTCCCATCCACGTCCTAATCCATTTTAAATATGACCGCGGTATTCCCATGTTACGCAACTTTCCAACGCATCCATCAATCCATACACGATCGAACGCACTCTTGAAGTCTACAAACACCGTAGCTACAGGAGAGGAGTTCGACATTAAGGATGATATTTGTTCAATAAAAAGTAGTACTCTAGTTTGCAGACGAAAACCTGGACGAAAACCTGTTTGTGAGTCGGGTAGTAAACCACGTCTATCTAATAGTTTCCGAAAGCGATTTGTAAATAATCTCTCATTAACTTTTAAAAAACCGTCTAACATTGAAATGGGACGAGTCTCAGCCGGGGTACAAATCGAATCTTTTTTCGTAAGTATAATCATTCTTGCATCCCTCCATGCTATTGGAAGAATGGCGGTGGAAAATGTATGATTAAAAATTTTTAGCAGAAGTGACCAATAGGGGTCCGGAAGAAAGTTAAATAGGTAGCTCGAGATGCCATGGGCGTCGCATGACTTTTTCTTCTTAAGATTTCGTATCACTTCTAAAACCTCTTCGAGCGTCGCTGCTGGTATTTCCTCCTCATATATTTCCGACTTTATAAAAGGCGCATCGACAAATGGATGAGGGTGCTGAATATCCTCAGAAAGTGGCTCCTCAAAATGTTTCTCATAAAAGTCGGCAGCTATTTCTACCATCTTATCGGCTGATCTTACTACTTCTCCACTCGGTAAAACAAACGCGTTTAGAGATGCCGATGATGCTTTAAAAAAACTTTTAGTTTTTGACCAGAACGCTACGGAAACTGGTGAAGAAGTATAACACTGAGACAAGCTAAATGTTAACTGCGAGTTAACAAACAATTTTAACTCATATTTCATAATTTTTCGCAAACGGTTGACTTCATTCTTTAAATTTAAATCCCCCGTACGTTTCTGTCTAAGTGATAAAGCCCGTACATACGAAAGTCTAACACGTATCTCTTGCGGAATGGCTATACGATATTTTTCAATGGGAAAATACGTAGTACAGCGTGCTGAAAGAAGAAAAAGAAACCTTACATAATCATCATAAACCGAGTCTAAAGTGGATAGATGCCAACGTGCTTCCCAAAACGAAAATACTATTGATAGAAAAAATGAAAATACTTTATAATGTATATTTCTACACTGCTTAACTACCTTAGACTTAATTGTAATAGTAGACAGGATAGGTTTGTGATCACTAGTAGTTGCTCCTGTGTATACTTGTAATTGAATGAAATACTTAGAGGAAAGCGCAAAGTCTATCACTCTATCTGATCTCAAACTGGTCGGTTCTTCGGGCATAAAAGGAGCGAGAGAGCAAGAATCAGCCCATTCTAAAAAATTTTCTGCTTTTTGACCGTCCTTCTCGAGGTCGATGTTAAAATCTCCAAAAACTACTGACTTTTCATCACAAAATTTTGAAAGATCTTGCCAATTCCACGTCTTGCTTTCAGAACCATAGACTCCAATTAGCCTTATACTTTCTTCTAAATCCAGATCGAGGACGACAACATTTGGGATAGCACAGTCCAAACGTTTAGCTTTTATACTCTTTCTAATTAAAATGACCACACCACCATTACGGTTTTCCCCTGCTTGGAAGAAGAAGCGATGTTTTGGAAAGAATTGTGAGATAGATAAATGATCAAAAACTCCTACCTCAAGCAAAATTAGAACATCAAAATCGAACGAAAGAGTTAACAACAGTACTTCCTGTGATCTACAGCCTAGACCTCTTACATTAAAAGATAACACATTTAAAGAATTTGAAATAGAATAT